AACTCAGTGATTAATATGTATTCTCTCATTTAACCTCCACAACAACAGTGCTGTAGGGTTGTCATTTGCACGAGCTTGATTTTGCGGATCAGGAAACTGAGGCTCAGAGAGGTCAAGCAGCTCTGAGTCTCAGAGCTCAAACAAGTCTCCCTATGCTGCCCAGGCTGGTCTCGAACTCCTGGTCTCAAGCAATCCTCCCGTTTCAGCCTCCCAAGGTTCTGGGATTGCAGATATGAGACACCGCATCTGGCCTGGTTTTGATATTAGCATTCAGTTGGGGCCTTAAGCAACTTCACACTGTCCATCATCCAAGGAAAAAGCGATTCCTGGCCTAGGCAGAGGAGGGAGAGAGATGGCTTCAATAAGGTGAAGGAAAATCCCTTCCTGTCTCTGGTCTCACTTGGTTAAGCCAGACCTTCTAAGCCATTAATACTTGCTGGAGGGCAGCCCAAGAGGTGGAGGAGGCTGGGCCTGCCATGAGAGATGTGCCAGAACTGGGCTGGGTGTGCAAGCCTGGGAAGATGGATCCAGCTTCAAGACTCTGGGAGCAGCCACACCTGGTCATGGATCTCCTGGGCTGAGATGTCCTCCAGACCTTCTGAACCATAAACTGCTTTTACTCACCATTGGCTCCCCAGTGCCCAGCACAGTGCCTGACCCTTGGAGGGTGATGAATGAATACATGTCCCCTACTAGGCTGTGAACTCCTTTAAGGAGGGCACCACTTGGGGATCACTACAGTATTGCCCCCTCCTCCCCTCCCCAGTGCCTGCCACAGTGACCTGCTGATGACCATGGAGCCAAATCCCTTTCTCCTCATTAGAAGCTCTCAGCCCAAAATCCATGGTTCCATGGGTCAGACTGAGGCCCAAGTGGTCCTTATGGATGAATGATGGAGACCCCACCAAGCTGAGAACTTGGAGGAATGATCTCCCATGGTTATGGCCAGGCCCATTTTTCGCCTTTCTGAATGGCAACAGCATATTTCAGCAGAGGTCCTCAGTAGAGCCACACGCAGGAGATACATGCATTTGTCCACTCGTCACTCACTTAGTCATTTGTTCACTTATATATCCACTCTCTCACTCATGCCTTTGGTCCTTTGATTACTCATCTGATTAATTCATCCATTCATCCAACATTGTGCAGAATGTTGAATGGGTTTAGAGATGCTTCAGGCACAGGTTTTTTACCTGAGAGCTCCCAGATTGGGGCGAGAAAGGTAAGAGCCATCAACACAAATAATCATACAGCAGCTTAGCAAGTAGTAAATGTCATGAGAAATATACAGACACATCAGCCAAGGGATAGAGAGAGAGATTTCTCCCAACTAAGAAAGGGAGCGATCAGAGGTGGCTTCCTGGAGGAAGTGTAATCAGCACCAGCTCCAGAATTTCTCCATGGGGACTGGGTGCAGATGGCAGCTTGTCAGGGAAGCTTGAAGCTTCATCCTCTATAGGGCACTTTACAAAAGACTGAAAAGTAGGCCGGGCATGGTGGCCTGTAATCCCAACACTTTGGAAGGCTGAGGCGGGCAGATCACTTGAGCTCAGGAGTTCAAGACCAGGCTAGGCAGTGTGGCAGAACCCCATCTCTAATACACAAAGAAATTAGACAGGTGTGGTGGCTTGCGCCTGTGGTCCTAGCTACTTGGGAGGCTGAGGTAGGAGGATCCTTTGAACCCGGGAGGTGGAGGTTGCGATGAGCCGAGATCGAGCCACTGCACTCTAGCCTAGGCAACAGAATGCGACCCCAACTCAAAACAAACAAACAAACAAATAAACTGAAAAGTACTCAGCTGCCCATACCAAAGAATGGGGTTATAATGGAGAGTGAAGAGGTGGTTAAATCTCCCCCAAGTCCCCTCTTGCTGCATCTGCTTTGTGTGTGGTCTAGAAGGAAAGTTTGCATGCTCTGGGTGGGCACAACTCCCTGATTTTCCACCCTTTCACTCATGAGGAGGGTGTGGCCAGTAGAGGTTCTTGGTGGGACCTTCTAAAGCTCAGGGCCAAGGATAGAGGCCCCCACCTGCCCATAGTAAGGGGTTTTACAGTCAACCAGGGAAGATAGGATGAGGCCCCAAGCTGAGGCAGGAGGAGCCCCTATGAAGGAGGAAACAGAAATGGCAGATAACAGAATGCATAGGACTTATAGGACTTGGAGACAGGGTGGACGTAGCTGCTGATCTGAGCTGCATGTGTGCATTTGAGCCTCAGCCTGGTTCCCTGAAACCTTGCCAGGTGGGTAGGTGAGGTGGGTGCAGCCACCTGCACCCCTAGTGAAAAGCCACCCAAATGACTGTACTGCTCGGTCTGTCCTCTGCCCTCCTCCGCCTACTCTTCCCAACTCCCAGCCCAAGGTGCCTGGCTGGGCCGTGTGCAGGGCGTCTGGCCCCAGGGAGAGGTGGGGTGAGCTGCAGACTACACCCACATGGCTATAAATGGGGAGCCTCTGGCTGCTGATCACTCAGCCTCCCTTCCCCAGCCGTGACAGCACTGGAACCTTTCGGACACCTGGACCATGGACCCCAGGGAATGTGTCTGCATGTCTGGTGAGTAAGGAAGCCCTCCCTGGGGTCTGGGAACCTTGGACCAGCTTCCTACAGGGAGTCTGCAGGTCCCCGATGAAAACTTATCTTCCCTCTAATTAGGAGCCACCAATGGGGTTCGTCCTGGGAGCTGACAGGTGGACTGGCCACCTGTGAGGCAGCTCCTACTCTCTGTTGGCTCCCAGCCTGATTTTCTAGAATTGATATCCTGGCTCAGGGAATGGCTGACAGGGGACCTGCAAACTTTGGTCCTTCTAGCATTGGCCCCTAAGGGCACCCACCAGAGTGAGGAGAACGCTGGTCTAGAACCTGGCAACCTGGTTTGGGTCCATCGCTGCCATCCCCTCCCTGGTGCTTATTCTTTCTGGTCCTCACTTTCCTCATCTGTAGACTGAGATTCCTTATCCCCAGCCAACCACATCCCAGAGCTGCTATGAAAGTGCTAAAACCATTAAGCACCTGCAGATGTCAGGGGAGTTGTGGACTCCCCTAACTTATGTGGACTCTTGAGTCACTGAAGCTGCTTAATTCCACAGGAGCATGTTGGTCAGAAGGAGAGAAATCGGGGTTCAAAGCCATCCTGCGCTTTTACAATCATGGAAATAGTATAAAGAAGTCTCACAAGTCTGGGTGCTGTGGCTCACGACTGTAGTCCCAGCAATTTGAGGCTGAGGCAGGAGAATCACTTGAGACCAGGAGTTCAATACCAGCCTGGGCAACATAGTGAGACTCCATGTCTACAAATTCTTTTTTTAACTTACCTGGGTGTAGTAGTGTGCACCTTAGTCCCAGCTACTCAGGAGGCGCAGATGGAAGGATCGCTTGAGCCCAAGAATTCGAGGCTGCAGGGAACTAGGATTGCACCACTGCTCTCCAGCCTGGATAATAGAGCAAGACCCAAGGAAGGAAGGAAGGAAGGAAGGAAGGAAGGAAGGAAGGAAGGAAGGAAGGAAGGAGGGAGGGAGGGAGGGAGGGAGGGAGGGAGGGAGGGAGGGAGGGAGGGAGGGAGGGAGGGAAGGGAGGGAGGGAGGGAGGGAGGGAGGGAGGGAGGGAGGGAGGGAGAGAAAGAGAGAAAGAAAGAGAAAGAAAGAAAGGAAGGAAGGAAGGAAGGAAGGAAGGAAGGAAGGAAGGAAGGAAGGAAGGAAGGAAGGAAGGTGGGAAGGAAATAAAGTCTTACAAGACTCCTTTGTCTTTTAACTGGACATCTCTGTACCAAAAACTTGCAAAAGAGGCAGAAGCTTCCAGCATTTTGAAACTGAAAATGAAAGATGGGATAATTTTTTTTAAGTGTAGATAGTCATTATGGTATAAAACCAAGGTGGTGGCTCACATCTGTAATCCTGGCACTTTGGGAGGCGAAGGCAGGATGATCGCTTATACCCAAGGAATTTGAGACCAGCCTGGGCAATATACTAAGACCCTGTTTCTACAAAAATTTAAAAAATTAGCCAGGTGTGGTGATGTGTGCCTGTGGTTCCAGCTACTCAGGAAGCTGAGGCAGGGAGATCACTTGAGCCCAGGAGCTTGAGGCTGCAGTGAGCTGTGTTCCCACCATGGCACTCCAGCCTAGGTGACAGAGCAAGACCCTGTCAAAAGAAAGGAAGAAAGAAAGAAGGAAAAAGGAAAGAAAGAAGGAAAGAGAAAGGGGGAGAGAGAGAGCGAGAGAAAGAGAGAAAGAAAGAAAAAAGAAAGGGAGGGAGGAAGAAAGAGAGGAAGGAAAGAGGGAGGGAGGAAGGAAGGAACAATGAAAAGAAAGAAAAAGAAAGGGAAGAGGAAGCGAGGAGAGGGGAGGGAAAGGGAAAGGAAAGGAAAAAACAAAACAAAGTGTGGCTCTGTGGCTCTTGTTTTGAGTTCACTGATGTTCCTTCACCTTTCTTAAACCATTCATGGTTTTCATCTTGACTTGTGAAGGTGACGAGGGTGTAAAAGAGTTTTTTGTTTGTTTGTTTGTTTGTTTGTTTTAAGACAGAGTCTCACTCCATCACCCAGGTTGGAGTGCAGTGGCACGATCTCGGCTCACTGCAACCTCCATCTCCCAAGTTCAAGAGATTCTCGTGTCTCAGCCTCCCTAGTAGCTGAGATTACAGGTGTGTGCCACCACACCTGGCTAATTTTTTTTTTTCTTTTAGAGATGGGGTTTCTCCATGTTGGCCAAGCTGGTCTCAAACTCCTGGCCTCATGTGATTCACCTCCCTTGGCCTCCCAAAGTGCTGAGATTGCAGACGTGAGCCAGTATGCCTAGCCAAGAGAGGGTGAAAGGCTTTGATAGTTCTCAGAGGAACCTTGGGCTTGGAAACATTGGCCTCGTCTGTTGGTTCTCATTATACTTAAGAATTATTTGAGTTGCTTTTCAAAAATATGGACTCCATTTCCCCACCAAGACTTATGAATCAGAACATCTCAAGGGTTGGTCCCAGGAATCTGCATTTTTACAATTATCCCAGGCATGATTGATGCAGCCATGCCAGTTCCCATCCATGGCCTATGACTGTGGACTATTGCATGGTTCTTGACACTGGGGTGATGCTCAGCAGCCTTGTCACCCTCTCGTCCAGCCAGTCCCCAAGGACAGCCCAGAAGCCTTGCCACTGTGACAATCGGCATCATGCCTTGTTTCCCACTCCATCTCCATCCTCACGTTCGTGGTGGCTGTCCTCTCTTCCAGGAGGAATCTGCATGTGTGGAGACAACTGCAAATGCACAACCTGCAACTGTAAAACATGTCGGAAGAGTGAGTATGGTGACTCGGGGCACCATGGGCTGGGAGTTAGAAAAGTCTCATCCAGGCCAGGCATGGTGGCTCACGTCTGTAATCCCAGCACTTTGGGAGGCCGAGGTGGGTGCATCACCTGAAGTCAGGAGTTTGAGACCAGCCTGGCCAACATGGTGAAACCCCATCTCTACTAAAAATACAGTAATTAGCTGAGCATGGTGGTGGGTGTCTGTAATTCCAGCTACTTGGGAGGCTGAGGCAGGAGAATTGCTTGAACCCAGGAGGCAAAGATTGCAGTGAGTGGAGATCACGCCATTGCACTCCAGCCTTGGTGACAAGAGTGAAAATCAGTCAAAAAAGAAAGGAAGAAAGGGAGGGAGGGAGGGAGGGAGGGAAAGAAGGAAGGAAGGAAGGAAGGAAGGAAGGAAGGAAGGAAAAAGAAAAGAAAGAAAGGTCCAATCCCCATTCTCAATCTTCCAGCCACGGTGGATTGGGGCTTGCGGGGAGGGAGTCTAGATGCCTTTTACCCATTTGGGAGATATCTGAAACGAGAACCGTGTAGAGACCTATGGCAGAGCTCTCCATGGCTGCAGCCTACCCAGGGATGAGGCCATCCATAGCGTTTGGAGCAGGAAAAAGACTGAGGGGAGGTTCTGTTCTGCCGAGTGGTAACAGGGATAGAGCACTGGCCTGGCGTCATGAGCCCTAGGTTCTAGTGTTGCCTTTGCCACTGTCTCATGACCTTGGCAAACCTCCTTTCTGTGGGCTTCTGATGGACTCTAGATGGCCCCTGGGATCCCTTCCAGTTCTAACATCCCTCAACTTTCTGTCCCAGGATTTTTGCTAATGTGGATTGAAACCTCATGCACACACCCCTCTTTTCCTACTTCCTCTAAGTGGTGGGAGGGGCAGTGGTGAGATGGGAGTGTTGACCCATAGCAGATCTGCGCATCTCCTGACTCTTTCAGGCTGCTGTCCCTGCTGCCCGCCAGGCTGTGCCAAGTGTGCCAGGGGCTGCATCTGCAAAGGAGGCTCAGACAAGTGCAGCTGCTGCCCATGAAACCCATCCATCGTGCCCACCTCTTCCCAGGAGAGAAACCTGGGAAGTGTCTGTACAGTGCATGAATCGAGAAGGTGGAATAATTGTACAATAGGTTGTGCTTTTTATATATTTGCCCAAATGTGGTGTTGGTCACATTCATGTAAAGTACTTGGGGCAATAAAGTTTTCACTCTCTTGGTTGTCTGGTGGCTCAGAGCATTGTTTTACCCTAACCCAGCAGGACCAAAAGGGCTGCTTCTGTTGCAGATCCTGTAACCGCCACCCACCTGTACCTGTGACAGATGGTTGCCTACTGCAAGCTCCTGCGACTCTGCCTGGGGACTTTCTCCTCCTGCACAAGCTTGCTTGACCCATGCACAGGACAGGCCAGGAGTATTGAGGAGCTAAAGTCCCTGGGAATAGCCCTTCGCTAATGACAAGTGTAGGGCGGTGGGTAAATATCCCAGCATCTTTACCCCTCAAAAGGAACAACTCTGAGACTCATTCTATGCTGTTTCCCAGAAGTCTCTAGAAGCACTGAGCTTCAAAAGCTCACAGAAGTAACCTGCTCATTAATGTAATCTACAGTGGCCTCCTTCCTTGCCTCACCTCCCCAGTTCCCCACCATTGCTTTCTGGGATCTCCACCCAAAGAAACTACTTGATAGGGTCTGCTTTGTGGGTAACCTAATCTTGGCCAGGCTCTCCTGCCATAGCCCAGAATGACTCATTGTGCAAACATAGCTGTTTAATGGGTTTGAGCACTGAATCACTCATGAATGAAGGCTGTGTGTATCTAAAGGAAATCTCCAAGGTCAAGACATTGAGGGCATTAGCTGCCCTGGTTTGGTTATTTGGACCAGTCTTTAGGACTGGATGACCTGGAAGGCATGAACCAGGAAGAAGACGCTGGTGGAGGTGCAGCAACAACATCCTAAGCAGAACTCCTAGGAGACGACTTTTTGGCTAAACAGCTGAGAAAGCTGAAGTCCCTGGAGGCTGGCATTGGAGACTGGGGGTGATCCTCAACTCTCACCCACACCACCATCCTCAACAGAGCCGAAGACAAACCCAAGCTCTGAGATGATTTTCATTCATGTCATCAAGGGCCTGAACTAGGGCCCATCAGAGACTAGAGCGGCCTCCTCCTCCACCAGCCTCTGTCAAGCAATCGTCAGATGCAGGAGTGGGTGAGCATAGAGCCTTTGCCAAGGTCACAGAGCAGCCCCAGGGTGGGCTGGGCTCAGCTAGCAGGATTTACTGCGTGCTTCCTGGAACTGATCACTTTCATAATCCACACTATCATTATCCCTGTTTGGAACTTAGCCGGGGCCTCCCTAGGAAGGTTTTCACCCTCTGTCCATGAGTTGTGCCTTAGATGCAGAATCATAGTGCAATGGAAACAGCTTGGCCCTGGGAGTCAGACACTCTACCCCTCCCTGGCGACATGACCTTGACCAAGTCATTTACCCTGTTGAGGCTCATTTTCCTCATCTGTGAAATGCATCTCCTTCACAGATTTGTAGACAGAAACTGTAGCATAGAATCTGTGCACAGAGCAGGTGCTCCATTAACAGGGATTTTAGCAGAACTACAGCCTATCCTAGACTTCTGTTGCTTGATCTCTGAAAAGGCCCCTGCCAAGTCATTCTCTGTCATCGCAGAGCTCTTAAGCACCTTGAGAAGGACACAATGCAAGGGATTATACCTTCCAGGGGAAAGAACAGTCCCTTGTGCCTCCAGCAAGCAGGTTGGCCACTCACCCTGCAACCTCAGCCTCAATACCCACTGAGATGCCAACTCATCTCATCCAAATGCCTTTAGAGTAGGTACTTCTGCAGGATCTCACTTACTCCCATCACATCCTTGAAAGGGAGATTCAGCCTTCAGATTCTCATATTAATAATAATAATATCAACAACTAATATTTATTGAGCATTTAATATGTGTTCAACACCTAATAAGTGCCAAGCATTGTCCTAAGCAGTTTATAAACATCATTTCATGGACTTTGCACTATCAGGACCACTTCAGAGCCAGACAACCAGGGCTCTGCACTGGGCCCTCTACTTTAGAGGACCTGGTCTTCCTCTTCCCCACAGGAGAGGAGTCCGAGGGTCCCAGGAGATCAGTCCAACTAGAACTCATGCTCATTCCTCCCATAAGTCCCCCATCTAGCACTGTCTAGACAATACTTTGAGTACCTGGGACCCCAAAGGCTAGTTCTAGGGTCTGCGTAGTCCCCCTCTCCCACCTGTCTATGCTTCCTGAAGGTGCACCATGCCATCAGTCTGTACACTCCTGGGCCAGAAGGATGGCCAAGGGCAGAGGTATTCAGAGATGGGAGGATGTGTGAACAGAGATTGGACACATGAGTTTTTATGTCTACATAGAGTGGAGAAGTCAGGGTGGAAAGAGCAAGGGGTGAACTGCACGTAGGCCTCCATTCTTGATTTTGCCCTAGGCTCTGCAAGTGTTAGGGGCAGGCCTGCACTAACAACACTGGAAGAGAATCCTGTTAGATAATAGGATCCTCTTAGATCCCCCACTTTGCAGAGGAAGATGCTGAGGCTCCAGGAACGTCAATGGCTGAAAGTCACAAGACTTCCAAGGGGCAGAACTGGGAACTGAGCTCAGGTCTGCCTGACCCAGAGGCCATGCTCTTGTCTATGTGATATGGATGAGGCAGAAAGGAGGCTGCAGGCAATGCTGCCCCAGATCCAGGCACGAAGACTCTTTGCCTGGGGCCTTGTACTTTAGACAGCACATACACCACAAGCACACACGTGTGTTAAAGCAGCGGCCCCCGACCTTTTTGGCACCAGGGACAAGTTTCGGTGGAAGACAACTTTTCCACGGACAGTGGGGCAGGGCGAGATGATTTGGGGATGAAACTGTAGTTACATTCTGATAAGGAGCACACAACCTAGATTCCTCCCATGTATAGTTCACAATAAGGTTCTCATTCCAATGGAATTCCAATGCCACCTCTGATCTGACAGGAGGCAGAGCTCAGGTGGTCACATTCACTTGCCCCACGGCCTGGTTCCCAACAGGTCACCGACCAGTACTGCAGCCCTGGGGTTGGGGAAGCCCCTATTAAAGAATACTTGGGGACCCTGTCACTCAGGATCTTGTATTTGCCATTACAGTGTGGTCAAGTAATCCTAAACATCTTCTCTAGTGACTAACACTGTTCAGGCCCTTGGAAACACTTCTCCATCTCTTGCCCTATGTCCTCAAAACAAAGAGTGACTATATTTGAATGCCAGGACGGTTTTATAGATTGTCCCAATGCTGATGTCAGAGATAGACACTGTCTTCAAAGTACAGGGAGGATTTAAGTGTAGAAATTAGAAAAAAGACAAATTAATAAACTCATCAAATCCTCCTCAAAAAGCATGAATGCAACCGACTCTCATGTCACACATCATTTCCCATGAGAGTGACTTGTCCATTTCCTCGCTTTTTTTGTTTTCCAATTTGTGTTTCCAGAATATTTATGATTTTATGCTAATTGCAGAAGCTGCACAAGGCAACTGAGGAATGTTTTGTAATATTAAGCAATTCATATTATTCACATAAATTCATATTACTCTTAAATTGGTGTAGATAGAGCTATAGCTATAGATAAATATACAGATATACATACTATGGACTGAATGTCTGTGTGCCCCCAAAATTCGTATGTTGAAGCCTAAATCCCCAGTGTGATGGTATTTGGAGGAGGGGCTTTTAGGAGGTGATTAGGTTGTAGAGTCGAGTCCTCATGAATAGAATCAGTGACCTTATAAGAAGAGATGGGCTGGGCCCAGTGGCTCATGCCTATAATCTCAGCACTTTGGGAGGCCAAGGCAGGCAGATTGCTTGAGCCCAGGAGTTCGGGACCAGCCTGGGCAACATGGGAAAACCCCATCTCTAAAAAAAAATACAAAAATTAGCCAGGCATAGTGGCACACACCTGTAGTCTCAGCTACTCAGGAGGCTGGGGTGGAAGGATTGCTTAAGCCCAGGAGGCAGAGGAGGAGGTTGCAGTGAGCTGTGTTTTTGCCACTGCACTCCAGGCTGGGCAACAGAGTGAGACCTTGTCTCAAAAAAAAAAAAAAAAGAGGCACGAAATGATCTCTCTGTCTCTCTTCTCACTGTATGTGAGGATACAACCAGAAAAAGGCCACGTGTAAACAAGAGAGTGGACTCTCACCAGACACCAGATATGTCTGCGCCTCGATCTTGGATTTCCCAACCTCCAGAACTATGAGAAATAAATTTCTGTTGCTTAAGCCACCTAGTCTATAGCATTCTGCTATAGCAGCCTGAATTGACTAAGACATACATAAATATGTAAGATATACCTTTCTATATGTAGACAGAATTTTTAAATATTTCAACTGGATGAACATCAAGTTCTAGAAGAATGAATCATTTTATTTTAATAAAAATATTTAATAAAATTTCATTAAATCCTTAAGAAATTAAATAGGCCGGACATGGTGGCTCAAGCCTGTAATCCCAGCAGTTTGGGAGGCCAAGATTGGCAGATCAGCTGAGGTCAGGAGTTCAAGACCAGCCTGGCCAACATGGTGAAACCCTGTCTCTACAAAAATACAAAGCTTAGCTGGGCATGGTGACATGTGCCTGTAATCCCAGCTACTCAGGAGGCTGAGGCAGGAGAATCGCTTGAACCTGGAAGGCAGAGGTTGCAGTGAGCCGAGATCTCACCATTGCACTCCAGTCAGGGCGATGAGAGTGAAGCTCCGTCTCAAAAAAAAAAGGAAGAAAGAAGAAAGGAAGAAAGGAAGAAAAGAAAGAGAGAGAAAGAAAGAAAGAAAGAAAGAAAGAAAGAAAGAAAGAAAGAAAGAAAGAAAGAAAGGAAGGAAGGAAGGAAGGAAGGAAGGAAGGAAGGAAGGAAGGAAGGAAGGAAGGAAGGAAAGAAAGGAAAGAAAGAAAGAAAGAAAGAAAGAAAGAAAGAAAGAAAGAAAGAAAAAGAAAGAAAAGAAAAGAAAAGAAAGAGAAAGAAAGCAATTAAATAATACCAGGACATTGAAGCTGGATGGAGAAATGTAGATGATCTTGGCGGCTTAAGAATTCTTAAGCACATGCGTCTCTGGGATGACCACCTCTGGCTGCCTCATAACAGTAGAAAAATAACCCCCTATTTAGGGTTTCAG